CCAGAAGACATCTCTGGTTTCGATTCATAAATGAGGATTTTTGGTTAAGAAATTGATTTTCTCAAATTATGATTTTTAATTATAATTCTTGATGAATATTAATTAATCAATAATCATAATCCTAACATTAGCAAGACAAATTGCGCTTTGTCCAGGGACAACAGATGAAAAATAGCCTTTTGGGTAATTCTGGCACATTTACACAATGTTTATTTATGAGCATTGTCCCTATCAAATAAAAATAAAATTAAAATTCATAATCACAACACTGCTATCACATCCATAAATCTCCTCTTTGGTGTTCCTCTAGGCCTCCTGCCTGGCAGTTCCAGACTCAAAATCCTTCTACCAATGTTCCCATTATCTCTCGTCTTTCCATGTCCAAACCATCTCAGTCTGGCCTCTCTGGCTTTAACTCCAACACATCTAACATGAGCTGTTTCACCGATCTGTTCATTCCTGATCCTATCCATCCTCGTCACTCCCAAAGGAACCTCAGCATCTTCATCTCTGCCACCTCCAGCTCAGAGGAGGTGGCAGAGTGATGCAGTCCCACTTTGACTTAAACTCCTCTGTCACGCCCACAGCACACCTCACCACTGTCTTACAGCCCTCTTACATGTCCTGCACCCCCCTAACAAACGCAGCTTTTTATTTTCTTGTCCCAACTTAGGGCAAACTTCCCAAATAGAGTTGGATGACAGGACCTCTCTACCACCGTCAGTCTTTGCTGTCATTGTAGGATGCAGAAGTAAAGCAGGTAAACAGCACGGCCAATGGAACGTGGTTGTTGTAGCAACTAGAGGAGGCAATTTTCGCAAATGGCCTGGCACACAGTGACTTCAATTTGACATGAACCCTTTGACTCAAAAAGACTTGATATCTTACACCAAACAGAAAATGTGACCTTGTGCACAGCGCACCATCACATTTTCTGTCAAAGTGTCCATGTCAAATTGTAGTCACGAGTCATTGGTGAAAGTCCAAGTTAAAATCAAAGCCTTTTGAAATCATCCAGTCAAGTCCACACTACTGATTTTCAACAAACATGCATCTCCTGCTGGAAATGACATCTAGCGCTGGATTTGAGGTTTTATATTTTCTCTGGAAGTGTCATCGCTTGAAGTTGTGTGGGACCAAAACGCAGACAAACACTGGGCAGCAGTATGATGAAAAAATGTCTTTTCTTTAATGAGGAGTTTCCAAAACTTACATGGGTTGACAACAAGAAGACATGGATACTCAGCAGGGAACAGCAAGGTAGTTTAACAGAGGAACCAGCAAGTGACAATGAGAATCAGTGAGTTTTTAAACAGTGGGAAGTGCAATGTGGAACCAATGAGAAAGGGAGGCAGGTAATCAGATGAATACTGAACAGGTGTCAGGAGCACGCTGCAGGGAACCGAGGGGAAATGTATCTGAAGAAAATTAATTAACAGGGAAACCAAAACTAGATAACAAAACTCAGGGAACAAATCTAAGGAAACTGTTAACAAACATAAAGTATAGGAGTCTGGAAAGTAACAACTAACAAAAGTAACCTGAGGACATGAGGAAACCTAACTGAGAAAAGTAAACAAACACAAAACACTAAGTGACAGACTGCAACAAATGAGAGCTGACAGAGAACACAAACATGGAACTAACCAAAGGAGAACTAAACTAAACAAACCTGGGGGAAAAAACTAGATCTGAAGGGAAACACATGAACACCCGAATCTAGAAAGTGATAACTTAACAGAAGTAACTACTAATCAGAAAGGAACAGAAAAACACCTAACAGAGAACAAGTAAACTTAACAAAAAACCCAAAATGGCAGATCCCGACAGAGAGATCTTTTGTTTCACATCAGCTTTTTAATTTTTAGCTTTTTCAACCTGAAGAAAGCTCCTCAAAGCCAACAGGTTTGCTTTCATTGAATGAAGAGGAAAACGTGACGAGGTTTCTGGTTCTGTGTCTAAGCTCTAGCTACACCTGATTGGCTTCAAATCCCTCTCTCAACGGTGAATTTTTCTGGAGTTTACTTTCTTCTCTTGTATGGCCTCTGCTAACGACATCTCTTGCCCCAAACCTGTGATCATTACATCAGTAATGCTGCTGTTTACACTGAACTGTATTGGAATGGCACTGCCTGAAGTAGAACATTTGTAAATAAATCTGAATTTATTTCTATTTTCACTGATTCAAACCGTGAAGAACCTTTTTCCTTTTTCCTATAGTTTTGTTTGTGAATGTGACACTGTCTATTAGAACAAACATGAACTGAATTCCTCTTATTAGATATGATATTGATCTTATTCATTTTTTAGGTGGACTCCAGTTGGTGATGCAATTAGTAGCACTGTTACTTTGCAGCAATAAGGTCCTGGGTTCAAATCCCAGCCTGGGGTCTTTCTGCATGGAGTTTGTATGTTCTCCCTGTTCTTTAGTGGGTTCTCTCCAGGTCCTCTGGTTTCCTCCCACAGTCCAAAAACATGAATGTTAGGTTAATTGATTATACTAAACTGTCCTTAGGAAGGTGTGTTTTTTGTCTGTAAAGCCCTCTGTAAAGGACTAGCAATCTGTCCAGGGTGAACCCTGCTTCAATGTCTGCGGAAGATCAGTCCCCCCGTGACCTTGCAGGGACAAGCAGGTACAGATGATGGATGGGTGGACTCCAGCCAAGCTGCAGAAGCATCTGAAGGATGAGCAGATGAGATCAGATACACCTGATGAAAAAGAAACTATACTTAGAGTGGGTTCAAATTTAGTCTGTAAATTAACTAAATGTGGAAACGGTGAAAAATGTGAATTCAACTATCTAGGTTTTTTTTTCCTTCTAATTTTTAAAAATAAATTTTAAAAACTGATAAACACAAATCACCAGATGACCCTGACTGCTGCTAGTTCCTTTCTGCAGCTAAACATAAAACCCTCACTGAGATCATCTTTAGGAAATAGGTCTAAATGATGCTCTATACGCAACTGGAGGCTTGGGGACAGAAAAGCTGTTTTCTATTTCATTACTGTTGATTTTTCACTGTCATATTTTCATTGTTAGCTACAATGGAAAGTCTGAAGGCTCTTTGAAGCTTCTGTACTTTAAGGAAACATAAAAGGTTGTGCTTTCAATACTTGTGTTCTGCTTTGAAGACTGATACCATGCCTTTGAAAATAATTGTATTTCAAGACCTGATTTCAACCCCAATCATCACCGCTGCATCTTTGATGTTACTTAATGTGGAAACCTAACATGGTTGGAGGTTGTTGGATATAAGGACAGCCATCTGAAAGTTGCAGCCATCGAGACAGTAAATCTCAATGGCTGCATTTGGGCACCCCTGCTGTAGAATTTCAAAGCTGGTAGAGACGAACCCCCAAAGGGGGGCCTTGTATCTAACCATGTCATATATCAGGCTGAATTGAATGTTTTCTTTAACTAAACAAGGAAGGTTTTACAGGTGGTGGATAAAAGTAGCCTTAAAGAAGTTTTTCCACTTAATGCTTAGAAATTCAGTGTCCTTGAAAGCAAAACATTAAAGAATGGTGGATGAGTCAAGACTTCTCACATCCCTAAAATGAATCCATCTCCATCAAAAGGAAACAAAATACTTTACTTTAAAAATGAACCAAAAATCCAAATGTGTTCGGCTTTTGAAGTGGAGTTAAAAGCCCCAAAACAGACTCAAATAAAACAATGTAGACATTAAAATTCAAATCACTGCCTCAAAAGTTTCAGCTGAACAAAACAGGCCTATATAAAACTTTGAGTTATATTCAGAGAAAAGCTGGATATCAATAATTTAAAGTGAATGTAGCTGGTTGAAAGTGTTTCTAAAAACGAAGCAGGGCTCCTCTGCAGCTGTTTGTCTCTGTGACTACTGACTCCATCAAACATCATAAAATGATGATGCACCGTATCCCGTCTGCAGCCCGAGGGGCATTTGGTCTGGCTTTCATTGACGCACTGCGACCGTCTCTTTTAGGAACTCCTCCGTCTTTGGATTTCAGCAGCGCTACACAAAATCTTTCCACCTCCTGTCCTGCAAAAGATTCCAATCCTATCAGAGGTCATTTTGCATATAAAAAATCAATGATGCTCCAGTATTGGATGGATGTCTTTCTGATTCTAAGGCATGAAAGTTATCCTTACCTTGCTCCACAGCTTTACATATTTTGTTAAAAAGCTGAATTAAACAGACCAGAAGAAGGTGCAAGATGTTTCTGAAAGCTGTCTGTAAAGATTACTCTGAGATTATGGAGGAAAGCCATCCATCTTTGTTTTGCCATTTCGACGCTTTCTGTGCAAACTGCAGAAACTGGTTTAGATTTATTTTAAATGTCGGATTATAGGATCAAATGTCAATACCTTGTCCTTTTTTCCAAATTTCCAAATATTGCTTCAGTCCAGGTTTGCAGAGATTTGTTTCTGCACAGCTCTCTGAAGGTCCCGCTACAGCATTTCAATCAGGTTGATGTCCAGACTTTGACTAGGCCACTGCAAAACTCAGTGAATCTCTCAGTTTTTATTTGTAGAGCACTTTTTTACACAACAAGGGCAGGGCGAAGTGTCAGAGTTCTAGGAGTTTTCTGTTCACCTGTTTTTTGCCTGCTACTAACCACTTCCAACCTCTAGATGGCACCAGACGCACGGTAGGAGCTGAGCCAACAGATGTTCTCCATCAGCCTCAACAGGAGAGGAGCAACCCAATGCTGCCAACACTCCGGTTCCTGAGCGTTAACCTACAGTGGTAACTCTAGCTGGCCAAAAACAAAATCTCTTTGTGATTATTCAGAGTACTTATCTTCTCCTTCCCAGGTTACCCACAGCCTCGGGTTTTCAGTACCCAGTCTGCTTATGCAGAAAACCCAGATCCGCTCTCTCCAAGAAGACTTCACAGATTGCATTCTCAGTTGGCACCGCTCTGGTCTCAAGGCTCTTCCAGCTTACCTGCGAACGAACCTGGCTCACCCTCCACCGTGCTCACCCTCCAAGAAATCCCACCTGGTGCATTCTCCATCTCAAGAGCAAATAAAACAGGATTACCTGGATCGATTCACTTACCTGACACACTCCTGGAGTTTCCATCCTTCTTCCCCCCCTAGTGGATCTTCAAGTCTCCACCTGTAAGCGAAATTATATCAAGATCAACAACTCTCAGTTATATCAGCCACTTACCATTGATCCCTTCTCCATACAGCGGCGAGTTCCTGTTTCTAGAATTCAAACACTTTATGATAAACTTATTAAACCTTTTCTGTTTCCTGAGTGTATTTCTGCATATGGGTCAAAGCAGCTAGAAAAGCGATGACCTCATTTTGGTCCAAGCTTCAGCGGATGGCCTTACATTTGACTCAAGAACAACTTGGTCTATCGAGGAGTTCATGGTCCACTCAATGGCTGCAAGGTGTCCAGATCCTGTGGCTACAAAACAAGCCCACATCATGAGTCCTCCACCAACGCGCTTGACAGTTGGTATGAGGTGTTTGTGCCGATGTACTGTCTGGTTTTCTCCTAACATGGTGCTGTGCATCATGTTCCCAAATATCTCCATTTGTGTGCATCAGGGTTTTTATAGCAGTTCTATCATGACCTTTAACAGTTAACCTGCTAACCCAGGCCTGTAGAGTCTGAGGTGCAGCGCTGGACGGTGGACATCCACTCAGAATGCTGTCGCCCATCTTTTAACTGGTCCATACAGACAGGTATGCTTTCCTCCCCTCATTGGCTCCTTGTGCATCATAGAATTCATTTTAAAATCCTAATGTTAGCTTATAAATGCCTAAATGTTCTTGCTTCTCTGAATTACTCCAGGCTTATCTCCCTTTGTGGACCTTTATATCAGCCGATCTAAAGGTCCCGTTTTAGTTGTCCCGAAAACTAGGAGGAAGCTTAAGAGGAGATTGGGGTTTCCAGCTTTGATTACCAAACCTTAGAATATGTTGCCTTTAAATATTAAAGAGGCATCTTTGCCTCCTATTTTTTATTCCTTTTTAAAAGCTCCTTTTAATGTCTCTGTTCTGTTTTATGTCTTATCTCTTTTATTTATCCTATTTTTGTACAGCACATTGAGCAAACTTGCTGTTTTTAAGATGTTCTTTATAAATAAATTGGAATAGGAATTAGAAGCAATCAGTGCATTGGATCAGCAGGTCCTGGCTCTACTTTCCCTTTTAAATCCTGCGGAAGCAGCAAGCGTTAAAGACTCTTTTTCCATGATTGTATCAATAGACATGGAAACCTTCTTTTTTCCACGATTGTCTCTAAATGATCCTTTATGTCAGTCAGTTATATATAGATAAATCTTTGTTTTAGCTTCCTGAATAATGTATAACTCATGAAGTTATCACACCCTAGTGCAGCGATGATACTGTCTTATTTTAAGTTTTGTAGATGACTGTCAATCACTTACAGTCTGTCAAAGAGGAGAAATGTCACATTCTGAGGGTTGCTGTCGCTGCTTTGTTTCCTTCCAGCGAGCTGACATTCTCGCTGGTTGTGCAGCACTTTGTTTTTCCCGTGTGCATCCATTTGGTATTTAGAGGTTCTGAAGACTCACCACAATCTGAAGAGTAGCTCGAGAAGTGCAGCCTGATGAAACGGTATTTCAGCTGCTCAGACTCTCTCCTAGCAAGCTTTAGAGTAATCTCTCTATAAATGCATCTTTTCTGTTCATAACACCACCTCTTCTCTTACTGTCTGGTTATCATTATCACCTCTGACTGCTTTTATTCCGGCTTCAGCTGTGTTTTCAGTAAAAACACATAATGATGAAAAGGTGGTGCATTTTCATCAGATTTGACCTTTCACAGTATTTGCACTTTGCAGCCTTCTCCTCCAGTTCTCGACCTCAGACTGAACTTTAGAGAGCAATGTGTGTGTGTGTGTGTGTGTTTTACAGGATAATGGATTTAAGGCTTCTAGGAGAGGTCTGTAGAAAGGGGAATCTTTCTATTTTGTGTCTGTTTGGGAGAAAATGATTTAATCCTGAAAATGTTCGGATCTTAAGAAGGTGGGAGACTAGATAGATAGATAGATAGATAGATAGATAGATAGATAGATAGATAGATAGATAGATAGATAGATAGATAGATAGATAGATAGATAGATAGATAGATAGATAGATAGATAGATAGATAGATATCTGCTGTAGTTTGTTCTGAAATCATTCCACTGTTCAATAAATCATAAAAAGTCCATAACTCATATGACCTAAAAATTATTGCCCATGAATGTATGTAAGGTTTCACCAGATCTATATTGCTGCACTTTCCTTCTATTATGTAGAAGTATCATGTAGCTGTGGTGCCTTTACAGCACACTGTTGCCTTGAGACAACAAACCAAGACAAAAAAAAAATGGTTTTCTTCACTACCTCTGCAGCTCCAGCTTCCACACTTTTATGTTGGTTG